CATTTTTTCATATAACTGTTGGCTGCTCATACATCTTCTTTTGAGAAGTGTCTATGCATAATTTTTCCCCACTTTGTAATGGTGTCGTTTGGCTTTTGTTTTGTTTTGTTTTGTTTTTCCCGGCATGTTTGAGTTCCTTGTAGATCCTAGATGTTAGGCCTTTGTCAGATATATAGGTGGGAAATATTTTTCCCCAGCCTGTGAGTTGTCTCCCCACTCTCTCAATGGTTTCTTTGGCTTTGCAGAAACTTGTCAATTTGATGAGGTTCCCACTTGTCTGTCTTATCTCTTATGGCATGGACACTTGGGGTTTTGACCAGGAATTGGTAGCAAATTTCAATTTCCATAAGGGTGTCTCCTGCATTTTCTAAGATTCTTATAGTTTGAGGTTTTACCTTTAGGTCTTTGATCCATTTAGGGTTGATTTTTGTGTATGGTGATAGGTAGGGGTCTTGTTTTAATCTTCTGCATGTGATCAGTCAGTTTCCCCAGCACCATTTACTGAATAGGTTCTTCTCTCTCCAGTGTTTGGTGGCGTTGAAGATGAGTTGGTTGAGTGAGAAATTGAGTTTCTGCTTTTAGAATATCTATCCTGTTCCATTGGTCTATATGCCTCTTCTTATACCAATACCAGGCTGTTTTGATTACTGTAGCCTTATAATACAGTTTAAAGTCTGGCAGTGTGGTACCTCCCACTTTGTTTTTTTTTTTTTTTTTTTTTTGCCAAGGATCGTTTTGGTTATTCGTAGTCATTTATGCTTCCTTATGAATTTCTGTATTGTTGTTTCCAAGTCTGAGAAGAATGCTCCTGGTAATTTAATGGGTATTACACTAAATTACATTGTCTTGGGTTGGATGGACATCTTAACAATGTTGATTCTTCCAATCCATGAGCATGGAATATTTTTCCATTTGTTTTTGTCATATTTGATTTCTTTGAGCAGTGTTTTGTAGTTTTTGTTGTAAAGGTCTTTCACTTCTCTGGTTAGGATGATGCCAAGATATTTCATTTTTTTGTGTCTATTGTGAATGGGATTGGGTTTTTTATTTGGATTTCTGTTTGCTTATTGTTGGTGTATAGGAATACAACTGTCTTTTGCAATTGATTTTATACCCAAAAATCATGATGCCAAAGTCCTTTATCAGTGCAAGGAGGTTTTTGACAAATTTTTTTTTTTTTGAGTTGGAATCTCACTCTGTGGCACAGACGAGTTCAGTGGCAGGGGACCATTGCAGCCTCAGACTGTTGGGCTTAGATGATACTTCCATGTAGTCTTCCAAGTAGCTAGAACCACAGGCACACTCACCACGCCCAAGCTAATTTTTAAAAAATTTATTATAGAAACGAGATGTTGCCAAGTTGCCCAGTCTGATCTTGAACTCCTAGGTTCAGGAAATTCTTTTCCCTCCACTTCCCTAAGTACTGGGTCCACCACACCCAGCAGAAAACAGTTCTATATCCCTTAATGGTTGAGGTCTTCCTGTAATAAGCTACATACAATAATTTGCACCATCATGTTGTTTATCTGACTCGTTTGCTAAAAGGATTATCTGAATTATCTTTAATATGTTACTTTAGTGAGTAGTTCTTCCTACTTGTTTAGAGGTTTTAGCTGAAATAGATATTACATGGAGGATTTATAACAGCACTTCATAAACATCCATTATTTAATTCAAACTGATTTCTTGGCATATCTTAAGCTCTTGAATTACTAAACTCATCAGGGACTACTTTAGTTGATAGCTATATTTATTTTCCTTCTTTTTCTTTTTTTTTGAGTTGGAGTCTCACTCTGTTGCCCAGGCTGGAGTGCAGTGGCATGCTCACGGCACTCAAACTGTTGGGCTCAGGCGATCCTTCCACCTCAACCTTTCAAGTAGCTGAAACTACAGGTGTGTGCCACAATGCCTGGCTTCGTTTGTTTGTTTATTTATTTATTTATTTATTTTAGAGACGAGGTCCCAGCAAGTTGCCCAGGCTGGTCTTGAACACCTGGACTCAGGCAATCCTTTCGCCTTGGCCTCCCAAAGTGCTGGGATTATAGTCTTCGGTCAGCGCACCCAGCGACAATAGTTCAGTGTCTGCATTAAAATTTTATGTGATAGTCACTTGTCAACTTTTAGAAAGCATGAAAAATGATTTTAATATGCTTACTTTTCTAGATTCAAAGATAATTTTTTCACATTTAATATTTCTAAAATTAGGACATATTTTATAACTCTTATCTATGTTTGTTATGAAAAGCTTTTTAAAATCAGTGATCTTGTCTTTCAGGAAACTATATATGACAATGTTGATTTCAGTATCATCAGAGTAAAAATTGGAAACAACCCAATAGCTGTCAACATAGAAGTGGTTAAATAAATTATGATAAATCCATACCATGGAATTCTATTATTCATTGTACTGTCATATAAAGATAGCCAACATGGATTAGGTGTAATGTAATGTTTACTAAGGTTAAATGAGCAAGATGAACAAAAATTCACTATTTCTACTTAAATACTTAGCCTATAATTGCTGTAGCTGGATGACCACGCCCTCTATTATGTAATAAAAACTTCATGATAAAAGAATGCTGAAGATGGATGTCACACCAGAACATAGGCGAGGTTCTTCTTCTGTCAGACTTTTAGTGTAGGTTTATCAATATTACCAAAAGAGAATTTGGATTTGGTTTTACTTGTGTTATTTGTATTTTCAGTGCACCACAGGCTTCAAATTCTTTTAGTGGGGTCTGCACTTCGTGTAAAGCATGAAGTACTTGCAGGTATTTTTGCCACCCTTAGCTTTCAGTAGATCCTAAATGCTTGCACCACAGGTGGGGTCTTAATCTGCTCTCTTAACTCACTCATCATGGTGGAGTGCTAGTGTGTGTGTGTGTGTGTGTGTGTGTGTGTGTGTGTGTGTGTGTGTGTGTGTGTGTTTTAACTCATGCAAAACTCATAATGGCAACAGAGGCTAGATTGCCCCTGGTCCAGCCTCAGTTTTGAACAGGCCCTAAGTGCCTGTGCCTCAATGACTTTGTCTTGTTTTAGTGGAGTTCCTGAGAGGAAATAATGTTCCTGCTCCTCTCCCTTTGGCAGATTGTTTTTAATTCTACTCCCCCACTCTGGTTTCAGTCAACCTTTGAGTGGGCCATAGTACAGGATAGTTTTCTGATCCTCCCTCAATGGCTAATGGCTTGTGCTGTTTTTTCTCCTGTAACAGCTAAACTTTGCAAGGTACTAGAGTGCGTGAGAGGTTCTTGTCTCAATCCCACAGGTAAAACTGCTTTTGTGTTGTATGCAAAAAGGATCAATGGGTTGGGAGAGTAAGCATTCCTCCTCCTTCTTTTTTTTTTTT